TGCTGCTGGGCCGGCGCAGATAGGATGCTTCCCATTATTGGAGGTGAGACGCCTGCCATTTAAGGCCTGTGATTATGCATCCGCTACTCGCAACGAAATGTTTGTATGGCTTTACCAAGATTCGACCTTTCGTATGTGCTCATAGGCACTAATAGCAATGAGGTGTGTAGCTACCAATGCTTGGCTTTCTTACTTGTCAACATTTTGCTCCTCTTTGAGGCAGTAGACTTTGAAATTGGTTAGTAATAATCTTCTGTATATTATAATTGCTGCTGGTGCATAGTACGTTTTGCTTTAATCTCTAGACAGTAGTTCCGGACTTCTTCGTAAAATTATTTTGACTCGAAATTATGTTAGTAGAGACTTCTATAACAACCTGCACACATTTAACAGGCTCTTGTTTTTCGAATTCGGCACCACTAGAAGTCCACGGTTCTGGTTGCTTTCTTAAGGTATCGCTTGTGTAGAATATGGAGATTATATTCAGTTTCCTCAGGCATTTTCGTTAAAGTTTAAAATAATTTCCTGCGTATAATGACTGAACTCATCATGGTCCATGTCGTCGATACATTCATCGCTTTAATGGAGCACTCATGTTTCCTCCTTTTTGCGGTGGTATAGTACGCCTAGAGGATTAGTTGGCGGAAATGCGTTTTAGTGTTGTGATAAATGCGTCTTTTTGGGGGTTATCAGACCCAAACACTGACTTTAAATGTCTTGAAGGTACTTTAGTTCTGATGTGTTTACTCTGGTGGTGGATATGGTGCAGGCCTCAGGAAGTGAGTATTGTTGGATGCCACGTACTTATCACTGGTGGTTCTTCGGGTATTGGATTGGCACTGGCCGGCGAAGCTCTGCGCCGTGGTCCTGCACGCCTCACTCTTGTAGCGCGCGATGTCAACCGTCTGGAGAAAGCGCGTGCCACCCTGATCGAAGCCTACGGCACCGCCTGTGATCTGCGTACCATCTCTCTTGACATCACCGCTCCCTATGAAGAAATTAAACAAAGTCTGCTGGTCACTCACAATGGTGCGTTAAACTGAAATACACCTCTATTAATCTAAGTCACGATAAAACTGAATGGGTATTTTTGTATGCACCTCCTTCAACTGTGTTACAATTGGGAGCCGCTTTTTGATTTTCTTATTGAAAAAATTCAGTTTCTATTTGTATCTAAGCCTGTAAGGTGAAACTTTAAATCCGAAAAGGTTTT